ACAAAACCCTCCCAAATAACTAGACAAGTGAGTAGATAGATAGACAGACAGACAATAGCAACCAGACAACCTGCAAGATAACATGCCAGACAAACAGCTAAACAACCATCCAGACAAGTCACAATCATCAGCTCCAATCCCTCAACTTCAATGCTCCAAAAGGAGTCAAGTCACATTTTTAAAAAAACACACGCACACACTTTTGTTCTCAATCAATAAATTTGCTGATTAATTAGGTGTCATGTGGAGTAATTTAATGAACCTTTTTGTGGTTATAATAAAAATAAAAATGTTACGAATTTGAGTTCAATAAAAAAAACTAGGCCAATCAGCTGATTGATTGATAATTTTGAGTTTTTAAGTGTTTTTGAGTTGGTTTATTAAAAACTTTATTTTTTGGAAAATTGAAAGATTGAGGTTTGAAAGGGAGGGAGGGGGGGGAGGGGTACCCTTTTCGTTGCTTGATGGAAAGATAGACCTCGGAGTGCTTCCCTTAACCCAATTAAGTTGAAAATTTGAATAGAAGAGATAAAAAGCTTTTAAAAATTCTACAAATTTACAAATCAAATGGACTTTCCCTCGTCCCCCCAAAAATGCGCCTTATCTTCTCGAACACCCCAATAATATTCCAACTTGCAACTCTTTTTTAAGTGCGCGATATCGCGACAAGCTTGATGAATTGAGATTTTATTGTGAGTGATTTATATTATTAGGGTTGGTTGTACTGTCGACTAAATGTCTGCTCGTGTTCAATAATTGTGAAAAATGATATTTTTATGAAGTCCAATTAATTTGCCATTTTTTCGTTATTTTATATGTACTAAGTTGAGGCTTTGATGAGTGGAAAGTGTGCACAAAAAGCTAAGTTTTGGGGAATTTTCGTAAGCTTTCGATGTTATAGGTTCATAATAAAATTAACTGGAGTCGCTGCTAGCTCCTCAGTTCAATAAAAGCCAAAAAAAAACTTCCAGCCCATCACAGCAGCCTTTTACACCAATTCAACTATAAACTCTTCAAGATCACATCCACAGAAGCTTCACCTTCATCAGCAATCATCTTAATTGATTAGCTTCTGAACCGAACTATATTTTTAGTACCTTATTATAAATTAAACTTTTTTTTACAATAAAATGCTTCAGTTTTGGAGGCTCAAAGCTTTATGTCTGTTTAAGCTTCATTTATGATTTTTGAGTTGAATAAAAGTTATTTTTTTTTTATTGCAGATTAAACTGTGGTTTTTGAGATGAAATCTTTTAATTTTCAATTAATTTGAAGGCTGCGTGCAGCTTTCGAAAAAACACAGTTTTTTGGCAGATGTGTGTTGGCTGGGCGAAGGGGGGTTAATTCATCCATAACTCTATAGGTCCCTAGGATTGACAAACTTTTAAGCTAATTTATAGCACATTTAAAAGCTGTTTTACAGTTCATCATCTTCAGCAATTGACACATAATACATAACCTATAAAAAAGGAATACATAACCTATAAAAAAGTTTCAATGAACAAATTTCTAGCTTCTGATATGAGTGAAATTAAATTGACCAATAAAAATTCATGAACATTGATGATATTAAAAATAAATCGATGAAGATTCGCATCTTTAATTTGAAGAGTAAAAACAGGTTTTTGTGTGTAATCTTGTAGTAGACGCCTTTAAAAAAATATTGAACGATGTCTGAGACCTTCAAAAATTCTTAAAATGTTGATAAGACGTCGCGGGTATTTTCAAGGTGCTAAATGAATTTAATTGAAGTTCTGTTTGATTTATAAATTATGCAAAAGACCTTGTCCTTCAAAAAATTAACGAATTTTTTGGGTATTTTAGAATTCTTTTGGTTCTTGTAGATTTGTTGACGAATTTAAAAATAACATAATAATCGTAAAAATTCCAAAAACCAAATAGTTTTCAAGTTTATGAGTAGTAAACAGAGTTTTTCTAGAACCGGAATCTGAATTGGTTAAAAATTCGTTGAGTTATTAAGTAAATATTAATTCAAGCTAGTCGATGATTTCTGAAAGTGATTTAATGTATGCCTAATTTTAAACTTTCTGGCAAACTTGTGCCAGATTTTAAAGCTTTATGGCTGACTTGTGCCAGATTTTTGAGCTTAATGTCAGACTTGTGCTAGGTTTTTGAACTTAATGTCAGACTTGTGCCAGGTTTTTAAGCTTTATGGCTTACTTGTGCCAGATTTTTGAGCTTAATATCAGACTTGTGCCAGGTTTGTGAGTTTTAAAGCAGACTTGAGCCAGATTTTTGAGCTTAATGTCAGACTTGAGCCAGATTTTTGAGCTTTATTGCAGACCTGTGCCAGGTTTGTGAGCTTTATGGCTTACTTGTGCCAGATTTTTGAGCTTAATATCAGACTTGTGCCAGGTTTGTGAGTTTTAAAGCAGACTTGAGCCAGATTTTTGAGCTTAATGTCAGACTTGAGCCAGATTTTTGAGCTTTATTGCAGACCTGTGCCAGGTTTGTGAGCTTTATGGCTTACTTGTGCCAGATTTTTGAGCTTAATGTCAGACTTGTGCCAGGTTTGTGAGTTTTAAAGCAGACTTGAGCCAGATTTTTGAGCTTAATGTCAGACTTGAGCCAGATTTTTGAGCTTAATGGCAGACTTGTGAAAGGCTTTTAAGCTTTACGGCTGGATTGTGCCAGATTTTAAAGCTTAATGGCAGACTTGTGCCAGATTTTTGAGCTTTAAAGCAGACTTGAGCCAGATTATTGAGCTTAATGGCTGACTTGTGATAAAAACTAGTCAAAAGAGATTAAAACTGTTCGAAGGTGAGCAAAACTTGCCGATGAATTTCCAAGATGATGGAATTTATCCACAACTTACTTCCAAATCCTTCAAATGCTTTAAAACTATCAAACGACATTCCTAAAAATCCGTGTAGGAAGTTGACACACCAAAACAAAATTTCTTGAATATCCACAAAAGACATTCTTTTTTATCAACAACAAGTAGTCATTATTGTGAATAAATTTGCATACATTTTCTGATATTTACTATGCTTTGTTCTTAGCTTGCGTCAGAACCCAAACAAAATAATTTTCAGCTTCATTTAAATGCAAATTTCTAATTTTTTTTTTTGAGTTTATTGAATAAAAAGATAAATGAAACTGGTCGGTGGATGATTTTTGATGAGGAAGTTGAAATAGCTCAGGCCGGTTTATTGAGGTTTCCGTTATGAAGAACATGAAGAGTTTTTTTTTGCTGCTGCGTTGAATTTCGCAACAATGAAGATCTTTTTTTTATTGGTTTCTAAATTAGGTTGTAAAATTAAGTTTCGATGATTAATCAAAAATTTGGAAGCTAATTAAGAGATTAATTTGATTTTGGTACGTTTTTGCTTTATTCATGCTAGATTCTAAAGCACCAGAGAGTAAAGAAGAATCTTAGTGTAAAAACTATTCCAAAAAGTTCTTCAACCGCATAAAAAATCAACAACAACAAGCTCTATCAAATCTTCTTCTCACCCACCTTCATATCAAATCAAACCGCACCAGCTGTCTCAAAAGCACTTTGCAGACTTCATTCATCAACATAGTTTTCATTTTTTCTTATTTTTAAAAACAAAACAGATAAAATAATTTTTTCTTTCCGCTACAATTATGAACGATTAAAACCGAAAAAATTGTTGAATTAAATTTTTATAAATAAATTTTTTTTTCTTCTTTTTCGTTCGCATAATTTTTTGTTTTGTTATTTTTAACATGATTTTCCAGAAAAATTGTTGCAAATTTTGAGTTTCTTTGGGTTTTCAGATTTTTTAAGCTAACCTTTTGCTTTGCTTTATGGTAATTTGGAGTGGAAAAGTGGAGATAATTGGGATAATTGCTGATTTAATATGGATTAGTTTTGAGTAATTTGGGGATTGTTGGTTTAAAGTTTTAATTGTTGTTGATGAAATGCAATGTGATTTATTTCAGAGCCTACAGTTATTGGAAATTTAAAATTTACGCTTTTGAGCCATATTTTACAGTTTTTTCTGGCTTCTTTGTGCCATATAATTGTTGCTCTAACGTGCCAGTTTTTTTAACTTTTTGGCTTACTTGTAGCTTTTATAACAAAAATTTGCCAATTTTTTACGCTTATTTGGCCTTCTCATTCCATTTATACCTCTTTTATGGCTGACTCATGCCATATTTTTGAGCTTTTCGATCTTACTTGTGCCCGATTTATAAGCTTTTTCTGGCTGACTTGAGCCAGATTTTTAAGCTTTTTCTGGCTGGTATGTGCCAGATTCTTGAGCTTTTATGACAAACATGTGAAAGATTTTTACGCTTTTCTGGTCTTCTCATCTTAGATTTATACCTCTTTTATGGCTGAAACGTGCCATATTTTTGAGCGTTTCTCTCTTATTTGTGCCATATTTTTGAGCTTTTCCCTTTTACTTATGCCAGATTTTTATGTTTTTTTTGGCTGACTTGTGGCATAATTTTTTTTTCTCATTTTTTTTTTAATTCAAACTTCCTTAAATTATGCGCTCAAGTAATAAAACCACAAAAAAAAATTCCTCACACTTTTCCAATAAATTTTATTTCAAATGAAAGCTTTTTGACGGATTTGTAGCAAAAAGCAGAAGCAAGAGTAGCAAAAAAACACGAAGAAAAAATCAAAAGCATAAAAATGAAATGAAAAAAGTTTTTAACATTGACGTACATGTTGCATTATTATACAATAATATTAAAAAAATAATTACAATACGCTCAATTACCTTCTTTTTTCTTTTCTTTCTTCTTTCCATTTCGTTCGGATTACGCTGGCTCGAATGGCTCTCAGCAAGTTTTGCTCGCTATTTTTCCATTCAACTTCAGCTGTTTTCTTGCTTTTTGCTTTGCTTTTCCATCCATATTTCGGTGGTGGGATGGATGATGTGTGTGGCGGGTGAGTGTATGAAGCTTACGCTCCAACTGCATAACTACTCTCAACTATACTTACGATTATGGAAGAAAAAAAAATATTTTGATATAAATACCAGGTACATTGTAGATTTCAATTCAGTACCAACTTTGGTTTCTTTCCTATTCCTTTTCGTTTTTTTATACCTCTTAAAGTCTAAGCTAGAAGAAAAATTTGAAAATGCGAATGGTAAATAAATTATAATTTGTGAATAATTTTTTTAAAATAAAAAAAAAAAACAAGAAAAGCTTTTAATTAAAAGCAAACAAGAAGATGAACAGTTTGAAGCAATTTGAACATTCGAGAAGAAAAAAAAGTGATTAAATCAGTGCAAAAATGAATAAAAATTTGCTCGAATTTAATTCAAATGAATTGCAAAGTGAAGAGTTTTGGTGCACAATTTGGATTTTGTTCTTAAAATTGAGCTAGATTGAGTTTAGCTCTTCTTGTGTCACATTGGATTAATATTTGGATACATTGTATTTTGGCAAAGTTCAATTCAACCTTAAAATTCAAAATAAGTGCATTTAGAATGATCTAGATGAGGTCTAGCAAACCATAACCGACAAATTCTCTATTAACTGTTTAATGGCGTGATAATTCACATAGAGCATGGATGTTCCTTGGATGTTCTGTATACTTTATTCTTACAACAGTTTAATAAATTTCACTTCATAACCTCAAAAGTTTCCAAAATTCACTCTTGGTCTCAAAATTTTTTGCTACATAACCTCAAAGTTTAATAAAATTCATCACTTAACGCACATAACCTCAAAATTCTGAAAAATTCTCAAAACTTCGGGACATAACCTCAAAATTTCTAAAATATCAATAATTCATTAAAATAACCAAAGATTACAACAAAGTACCGTCACTTTCCAATCAAATTGCTTATAAAACAGCCCCAAAACCTCAAATTTTCAAAAAATCTAACCTCAATTCTTTCTTCCTTCTTCCATCACACCTTAGCTTTTAGTGACTTGTTGCGTTGCCCTTTTGGCTGTCTCAGCCAACTGTGAAGCTCCAAAGGAAGCTGAACTTCAGCAAGAATCACAAAATGTCGAGAAGCGTGGAATTCATTACAGTTCCTACGGAGGTCACGACTGGACACCATCATACGGTGGAGACCATGGAGGCCACCACGAGCATCATCATGAACATATCAAGACAGTAACAATTGAAAAGAAGGTTCCATACCCAGTTGAAGTAATCAAGAAGATTCCAGTAACTGTTGAGAAGAAGATTCCTTATGAAGTTAAGGTTCCAATTCCACAACCCTACGAAGTCATCAAGAAATACCCAGTCAAAGTTAAGGAATACCAAAAATACACCGTTGAAGTACCAAAGCCTTATGACGTCATCAAGAAGGTTCCATATGAAGTCAAGGTTCCAGTTGACAAACCATACCCAGTCAAGGTATTCGTCCCAGAGCCTTATGAAGTCATCAAGAAGGTCAACTACAATGTCGAAAAACACATCCCAACACCATACGAAGTCATCAAGAAGGTTCCTTATGAAGTAACAAAGACTGTTGAAGTACCAAAGCCTTATGATGTCATCAAGAAGGTTCCATATGAAGTTAAGGTTCCAGTCGACAGACCATACGCAGTGTAAGTTGACATAACCTCAAAATTTGTTGTCCAAACTCAAGTTTTGTAGTCAAACCTGAAAATTGAGAAGTTCAATCTCAAAATCGAGCAGTCCAACCTCAAAATTGAGCAGTAGAACCTCAAACTTTTGACATAACCTCAAAAAAAAACTAACCTCAAAATTTTTTTATCTCTCTTATAAAAATACAGTGAAGTACCAAAACCATACCCAGTCTACAAGGAAGTCAAGGTCCCATACACAGTCGAGAAGAAGGTTCCATATGAAGTCAAGGTCCCAGTCGACAAACCATACACCGTTGAAGTAGAAAAGAAGGTCTCATATCCAGTCAAGGTACCAGTTCCACAACCCTACGAAGTCATCAAGAAGGTCCCATACATCGTCGAAAAACCAGTTCCATATGAAGTCAAGGTTCCAATTGACAGACCATACATCACTCACAAGGAAGTCAAATTCCCAGTTCACAAGGAAGTTCCACATGCAGTTCATGTTCCAGTCCATCCACCAGCCCATCATGAACATCATGAACATCATGAGCAACAACAACATCAACAACAACAAGAACAACACTCATATGAGGGTCCATCATCATACTCACACTCATCTGTCGAACACCAATCACATGAACATCATCACTATTAAGTAAAAAGACATTAAAAGTTGTTTCATGAAACCTCTGACACCAAATAATTACTGCAAGATGCTCAAAAAAAAGTTAGGACACTATATAATCCAATTACACATACTCGACTTAAATTAGACTTAAAAAAATATGTTTTTGTAGTCAAGCGATTCGAAAAACTGCCAAAATTTATTACACAATTTTTATGGAAGTCGGTGGAGCAATTGCGATAAAATCTCAAAAAAAAATAATTAATGTGATGCTACTGTTTAATTTTTAAGGTTAACGATACACTTTTTTTGAGATTTTATTTGCGTAACATTGACAGTCATGAATTTGAAGGTATTTTTTTGGAAATTTTTTCGTTTAGCTGCGGATGAAAAAAAAAAGTTTCAATTTTGAAGGGGATTTTTTTTTGATTTGCGGAAAATTTTTGAGGTTAAGTAAAAACTTAATTTTTGGGGAATTAATAGCTTTAAATAATGAGATTAGTAGTTGTGTCATGTAATTGCCACTTAGTAATGTAGGTTGATACCCAGAACATCAACTTTTACTTTTTTGAGGTTAATTTGACCTTAGCTTGACTTCTTTCTCTTATTATCATCAATAATTCGAGGCTATATCTCATTAAAGTAGTGCAATATTCCATTTAAGATGTTAAACAAGTTGTTATGTGTGTTATGGTTACTATAGATGCCTGTACCATAATTGTATGGCTGTCTGGCAGTCTATCTATGGATACAGGTTCTATAAGACTAAATACACTTTAATCTTGATTATCAACACTTAAATTAGTAGCTTTAATTTCAAATTGATGGTAAAAAGTAAAGAAAATTCTAGCACGATTTTCTCAATTTGGGAATTTTAACGTGTTTTTCTCGTGAGGCAAAAACTGTGATACTCAAATTCATGATGTAAATCAGCTCATCTTGTTCAAAAATTAGATTATAATCTAAATGTTGAATTGAAGAGCGCGTTTCACATGAATGGGAAAAAATGACGCGTTTTTCTCAAAGAGGAAAATCTCAAAGACATCAAATTTGCTCATAAATACACCTTATGTGATAGTTTATCTGATAGCAAACTACAACTGCTTACCAGCAACCTAGTGGGGCTTTAAAACCATAGCAACCACACCCTAATACTCCAAAAACCAACCTCAAACTACAGCAATCATTAAAATCACCCATCAAAAATCATCTCAGCCTCTCAAATATCCTCAAATTGAGACTGAGAATCTGAAACTTTTTTTTAATAAATTCCAACCTAGATAAATTGTTAATGTTGAACAAAAGATAATTTTTGTGAATGCGCGACTTTTCTACCTACTACCTATTGTATTTTATTATTTTTTTTATTAAGACTTTTCCTATCTCCTCCTTAAAAAAATGATTTTAAAAGAAAAAAAAAGATTTAAGAAGAAGATTTTTTAAAAAAGATCCAAAAATTGATTTCGAGAAGTAAAAAAACATTTGGTTGAGAAGTTTTGTTTTTGACAAAATTTTTTAAATAAACGGCGAAAGGGGGAAAATTTTGTTAATCAAAAAATATGTTTAGAAAAAATAAAAAAAAAATTGAGAGGATGACGAAGATTGAAGAAAAAACCAAGTAAATTAAAATTTGTTTTTATTTTTTTTTTATTTTCAGGAATTTTTAAAATGAAACATTTTAGAAAAAATAATAGAAATTTTGCCAATTTTTTAAAGATTTTCAGATTTTACAAATATTTCAAATTTTTCAAATTTTCAAATTTTTAAAATTTTTCAAAATTTTTGAATTTTTCAAAAAAAACCAATTATTCAAAAACATTTTCAAATTTTTTAAAAAAATTTAAAATTATTTTTAAACTTCAAAAAATCATAAAACCTTAATTTCTTTGCTGCCAATCCAATAAAACATCAAGGGTCAGACACTCCAAAAGTATTGTAATGTATTGTACAATACTTTACAATACATATGAAAGTATTGTAAGTATTGTACAATACTTACAATTCTTACAATACTTGTATGGAAAGTATTGTAAGTATTGTAGTTTTTACAAGACAGTTTGAGAAACATTTGTCATATGAATTTGATTATAATTGACGGTTTTTAAGTAGTTTTTCGTGTTTCTTTACATTTTTTGAACCAAAATTTGATGAAAATACATAATTAGCAATTTTGAACTAAATATTTTTAAGTTTTAATTAAAATTTTATAGTTCTTCAAAAATATTCAGTCTAAAACATATACAAATATTGTAAAAATATTTGTAAACAAAATTTTTGGTAATAAAGTCATTTTTCAAAATTTTCAATAGCAAAAAAAGTATTCTGGCTCGAAACAAGGGCGATATAACGCCAGATGCAGCCAAAAATATCAAACATTATTAACGAAAACATAGATAAGATGAGAATATTAGACATTAGTCTCCTCATATTAGAGGAACTTTAACGTTTGCTTCAGTTTTATAGAGGTAACACAGAGGTTTAGTTTTTTTTTATAGCGCTTTAAGTCATATCATAACATTGCTATGCCTCGATTTAAGTTTGTTTCTTTAAAGTTTACTTTGTAGAAGAAAATATACACTTTTAAATGTCTTAGAGATGCAGTTGTTGAAAATATGTATTTTCAAAAAAAAAATCTATAAAAACCATTTGATAAGTTTGTTAAATTTGATTCCTTCTTAATCGCCTTCTTGTCAGCGGTAAAAAAATTCAAATCGTCAAAGTAATGTTTGAATACACTTAAAACCTTATACTTTGATCAAAAAATTTGTATAAAACGTAATGCAGTTTTCTATAAAGGGTGGTAAATCTTGTGAAAATGAAACCAATCTATTTAATTTTGATTCCTTATTGACATCAAGATATATAGATGAGCTCATACAAAAATATCACTGTTTTTAACGGACAAAATTTTGAATTTTCTGTAAACATTAACACTATGAAAGAAAATTTTCAATATTTGTTTTGCAAAATTTTCAACTTTCTGTTTTGTTTTGTTGGTACAGGAATATTGCAAATGCTTTACTATTAATTAAAGTAACTGACTAAAGTCGAATAGTTATGCATTTATCAGTATTTAAATGAAAACTTTAAATTTAAAATTTAAAATTTTTTTGTTTGTATTAGTAAACAAAAAATAGTATGGTCGAGTATGGTCAAGTATACTTGGTATGAGCTCATCTATATATCTTGATTGACATTTAATATTAGTTTACATAATAAACTTCGTACCTGTACGGTTTTATGCATGAGAATTGTATGAAATCAATTCTTGATTTGCATCAGTCAAGCTTTACAAAAGAATTTTGAACTTTTTACCATTTTTATAGCCATTACATAATCAGAAATTCTCTTTTTTAATGGAAAACTGAAATTTGTGCTAGTTTTTCATAAAATACCCCTGCTAATTTTCAATAATAATGTTAATTTATCAAAAAAATTGTTATTTATCAATATTTGTCAAAAAAAGTATTAAATTTGGTTTTACAAATTGTTGAAAACTCAAAAAATATTTAATTTCTTTTAAAATTTGGTACTTGAATAATTAAATTTCAGTATTGTAAGTATTGTAAAGTATTGTAAATTTATATGAAAAGTATTGTAAGTATTGTACAATACCGTACAATACTTTGGAGTGTCTGACCCTTGTAAAACATAGAATAATCATAAAAATCTCAAATTTTCAATTCAAATCTCCATAAAATCACCAATATATTTAACTTAATCCTCAATAATAGCTCCCATTAATGCAAATTAACTCAGTTGCACAATAAATTTAAACCTGTCAAAACTAAACGACCAATAAAAGAGGCAATTAAAAATTAAATCCAAAAACCCGCCTTTCGAAACTTTTTACGATGGATTATTAGCAAAAATATATTTGTTTGTAGCTGAAAAGATTTTTTTGTTGTCTAATAAAATTCGCTTAATGAGCAAAAATTTTTGAGACAATTTAATTTTTAAGTTTTATTGTTTTCTTTAAAATTTGGCGACAAAAGTTTAAAAAAACAACTTTATTGGGTTTTCCGGGGTTGAATTTTGAGGTAGCTTTCGATAGTTTTTTTTTGAATTTTTTGCTTTTTTTGTAGACTCAAATTTGTTTTTCTGGTGAATTTTGAGGTTATGACATGTGAAGTGTTCAAAGTTATGATTCAAGTTGATAAGTCTAAAGTAAGAAATTAAAAAAAAAATTATTTGTGTGTCATATTTTGAGAAATAGTTTAAAGTCTCTCCCCGAATATGTCAAAGTTTAAAAATTACAATTTTTGAAATGTTTGTGGTAGATTTTTGGATTGGTTCAAAATCCTAAGTGCTTTATGGTTATGTTGATTCAAATTTCATACTTTCAAGTCACAAAAACTCACAAACACCCTCCAATTCCATCTCAATGACCCCCTTTAGTCTCCCAACAATCAAACAAAATTACAAAAAATAACATTCGCACATGTAACACAACCTCCGATTACATGAATTCATAATGCGATTAAAATATATCAAGTCCACAAACGCTAGCTCTCACTATTATAAACCAATTTCATAATCACACAACAAACAAAACAAAAAAATATAAAATTTCCTGCATTTTTTTTTGTACAAAAAAATTAATTGAAGAAATGTTTTTTTCAAAAGCACTCGCGTTAATGGTACATAAATTTTATTGCACGCAACTTAATTAGTGCGCAAAATTAATCTGATGGGGCTCTGATTCATGAGGCGAAAACAAAAAGTAAGTTTTGCAATTTATTGCGCAAAAAAAATAGTCAATTGCAGGAGAAAAATCGAGATTGATTGACTTTAATGACTTTGGCTTTTGTTTTTCGTCGATAATCTCTGCTAATTTATGCTGTGTGACTGTTTATGGGTTGATTGAAACTTGTGTGGAGTTGAATTTATAATTTTAGGGTTCCTGAAGACAACTGCCAGACGGTAATAGGCGATAAAGCCAGGATTAGGTGAAGACAATCCAACTGGATCACAACTGATCTTTACGGTTAGTTTAGCAGTAGGGCAGCAAGAAACCAGGAACCAGAAGTGCTGGTTCCGTATAAACTTGCACTTCTTGTTCCTGGTTATTAAGATCTTTTCAAGTAGGTAAGCAAGTTTTGACTCCTTAGAGTCTAGTTGAGACAATAAACTGCTTTTAAGGCTCTCAAGGCACTTTATGAGCTACTTGAGACTCAATAGGCCAACACTGGTACACTAGATTGCTCAGAACATCTTTTGATACCCAAAAGGATCGGATAGTGTCGAGCATACGTCATACTCTGCTGTATCTTATGTTAAATTGATTGTGCTAGTAGTTTTGAGTACCTTTGGTAAAATTAGTTCCTATAAAAAGCTTTTAAAGCCTTAAAAGTCATAATATGGTTGCTTTAAGTACCTTTGGAGCTTGTAAGTACCTCTGATAGCTAAGAATACCCCAAAAAATGCATAAATCAAATACATTCAGACCATTAAAGCCTAGCCATATCCCACCTCAGATACACAATAACCCCTACCCAAAGCAACTCTAATCCATAACAAGAAATCGATGTCTCTTACTTTACTCGGCTGTTTCACATATGCTTTACTTTTTTTACTGCTCTCACTTAACCATTATGCAATTTTAATTCCTTAATGACTCTCTTGAGTGCTGTATATCTCATTGCAAACATTTATGCATGCTCAATAGCATTAATCTTATTAGGTATTGAGTTATGCCTATGAGAAATTTAGTTTGACAGTCAGAAATGTGCTGTCAATTGGGGGAACATGAGTTGACTGTATTGCTGAGTTATTTTTGATGGTTTTGCAGATTATTGAGATCTTTTTGGATATAATGTGTCTTTATTGTGAACTCAGGTGCTTCAAGAGTACCATAAAACCCTTCAAGATACCTTCTGCATCCAAAATTATTAATAATCTATTCACAAATCCACTTAATCGATACGAAAAAAAAAATCACGTCTCGAAATCCTTCAATTGTTTAGCAAGTCAATCCACTTAAATATTTCGAAACGTCCTTCAATTTACATAAAAGAGCCCTTTTGTGCCTTCGACGAGCAAGTTCTATCTTGAAAGCTTCATGGTAAAGGAACGATTAAGAACAGCGAATGTTGGATATAAAAATTCATGAGAGGGTACGGAATAGGGTACGGGATAGGGTACGGGATAGGGTACGGGATAGGGTACGGGATAGGGTACGGGATAGGGTACGGGATAGGGTACGGGATAAGGTACGGGATAGGGTACGGGATAGGGTACGGGATAGGGTACGGGATAAGGTACGGGATAGGGTACGGGATAAGGTACGGGATAGGGTACGGGATAGGGTACGGGATAGGGTACGGGATAAGGTACGGGATAGGGTATGGGATAGGGTAGGGGATACGGTAGGGGATAGGGTAGTGGATACGGTAGAAAATAAGAGGTGTAAACATCTGAAGAAATTTTTATAGTAAAAGAGCACACATGAAGACATCCATTATGACTCACTAATCTCATCCATCTCTAAAAGCTTTACAGTTTCAAATTATTGTTCCGCATTCGCTCTTATTTTCCGTAAACTAATCTGCCTTCCGTCAGTAAAATTTATATTTTCTTTATCATATTTTCACATATGTTTTCCCCTTTAAGATCTTTGTTGA